CACACACACACACACACACACACACACACACACACACATCAGCCTGATGAAGCACAGCGGCACTCAGGGAGCAGGGCGTAACTCGCCCCAGCTCTCAGATTTTTTATTTTTATTTTATTTTATTTTTTGTGGCACTGAGTGGGAGATGTTTGAAAAGCTGTCAGTTTGGCTTTCAGCGACTCCCCCCTTTTTTATTTAGAGTAAATGTGTGTCGATATCAATATGCAAGCATGTTTGTGTGTAATGGTGTGTGTGCGTGTGTGTGTGTGTGTGTAATATGTGACACAACTGCAGTGTTCCTCTCACATCCTGAACTGGGATGTGCATCATGAATAATTGATGAGACCGTGGCCCAGCCTGGCTATCTGCACAGTATGAGATCAAATTAAACTCCCTTTCTTTCCCTTCTTTCTCTCTCTCTCTCTCTCTCTCTCTCTCTCAGCCGAAAGCCCCAAATGCTGACTGGCGTTATTCTGCGTCTTTGAGGGCAGGGGTGCAAGGGTAAGCAGTTTCCATCTTTAACTCTTCTGGAAGATTTTTTTTTTTTTTTTAAGAATGAACACGTGACTAAAGAACAAGCTTGCACTTATAACTTGATATAGTTTCTCTGGAAATTAACATGCTTCATTTTCAGGACTTTTCATATCAGCCACAAAAAATTGAAAAGGAGGTTGGTAATGTTTTTTGCACAAGTGTATGTCTATRAGTACATTAGCTCATAAACCAGTATGATTTTACTGAAACACTAAGAAAGTAATCACTAAATGTACATTCATAAATGATACACTTTTTGAAGAAACCCAATTCTAAATGGCCACCAGAGCTAATTAACCCTAGCAAACACACAAAAAAGCTATAACTCACAGTTGGACAGAAAAAGAGCTAAGGTTTAGCATGGTAATAGCTGAAAGTCCTCCTCAATACATACTGTATCTATTCATSTATAATACTAGAAATTTTACCCTAAAAATCACCCATAAAGTGGGAGGGTAGGATTAAACACGGGTTATTGATGATTAGATTTTTAATGRTTTTTAGGCTAAAAATGATAATCCTATTATACTCAATACATGAATAAATACAGTACTTCAAGCGTTAAAAATATTACCTAAGATCTTTGTATGAAAACATTGCCAATAATTAGCAAAAAGTTAGCAAAACATTTTACAAACCGCTTATCAAATTTCAAGAAAACTTTTTAGAATGTTTTCACTGTGTGTACATTTATATCTGATTAACTAAAAATAAAAAAAACACTTCAATTTAAGCAAACAAACAAAAAACTGTTATATTGCACTCAGCTCTACAGATGTTGAAGGGAAATTTGGAGTGATACTAACTAAGGGGGTCATTCCTACAACATACTCCAGCACAACAAATTTTTTCAAAGATTTTTGCCTAAAARTTTGGCAATAACTTTTAAAGGTAACCTGGTTGGTCTGTTAGCAAAATATCTCATGAACCACTGGAACATTGTAATTAAATTCTTAGAAATGCATAACTGAGTGTAAATCTACAACTAATTAACTTTTGGAGTCAGTTCAAGTGAAGATGGTCACCGCAGCTCATCCATGTTATACAACACAAATAATTTCTTGGAGTATTTATTTTATTTTATTTTCTTGATAGCTAAAATTTAATCAGTAGTATAGCTTAATGTCAGCTACACATACTCAAGACTGTGAGATTTTGCCATTTTATGTGAGTTATCTAATTTCCTTCTGGGATCAAAAAAGTATTTTTGAAATGAAGTGAATTTGAATTTGAGTAAGCACATAACTATTTTTTTTAGGTTTTACTAAAATGGTTATTATGCAATCGCTTCCCAACATAAGGTAAACTTAGTATATATGACATTAAAGGCAGAGGATGATATGCCTTTAACAGAAACATTGATTAACATGAAATMATCTATTATTTGTTTTTGTTTTAGAAAGACCATCCTCAGAATAAAGAAGGCAAATTGTGTTTTAACAAAAAATTCAAAGACAAATATGAAATATCTTAAAATGATGGTTTTAACAAGCCTGAGACGCTCTCAGTTCGATTCACAGAATTAAAACTGCAACAATGCTTTCAGGCATAAATTTAAGTAGAAACATAATTAGAGAAGTCTAGGCAGATTCATATGAACTGTGGGGGGAAAAAAGCACCATAACATCCAAACAGCCTAATACTGACTGTGAGCTGTTTTAAAATGCCAAGTTTCAATCTTTATTGTGGTCTACTTCACAAAAACCCACCCAAAAAGATTGTTTATTTATGTTTCATTCAGAAAATGTTAGCTTTTCTGAAACTGATTACCTCCATCATTAGTTAAATAGATGGGAAAACAAAATTCTCATTGACACAACTGGTGTTCAGGACCTAAATAATCCCCAAAAAATAGACTCGATGAATCTTTTTTATTATGGATGCTAGCCGCTTTCTCAGTCCTCTTGTCGTACGCTAGGCATCTTGATTAAAATCGAATAAATACTGTAAATAACAAAGGAAGTTTGTCAGTAAATCAAATCCTGGTTGTCAAACACTATCAGTAAAGTTGTAATGGTCTGTAGGATTGTGAGACCACAGAGCACTCCTAGTACCCATGGTGCGTTTAGTTTTGAGAAAGGAATCAGCTGATTTTGTGATCCTGCATGTAAAAACAAATCTAAATGTGCATGGTCATTTTGGTGCAAAATCTTGTTTCCACAGATGCCCACACCTCACAATAAAATAAAGACAGCTTTAAAAGAAAATGTTTCCCGTTTTCAAAAATGACTGCCGGTGGCCCATCAGAGAGTTCCTCCTCGGGGAAAAGGCACGAGCCACTTTGTCAGTTTCCCGTCTCCCTCTGTGGTGTAGTATTATACACGTCATCAACAATCCTGTCGCTTCCCCTCTTACGGCCTTTAAGCAGGAAGCATGAAGGACAAACGAGCTGACGACTACCTTCCTCAGATTGAGAAACACTCATGCATCACTTTACAACTGCCCTCCATGTGTGAGCATCTCTCAGGGGGAAGTCTGAACTTGCGTGAACTGGTTCTCGTAAGGTCGTAAGGTCCCTCATCCTTCACTAAGTCACATTATAGAGCCTGTGCAGTGACATCATCAGGACTGTTTTTTTTCTGCCATCATGTATGGAAATCTGTAAGGCACAGGGCTACATGCATTGAACTAGGTTGAGAACATCGCAGATCAATGCTTGTATTCCAAAATATCTTAGTGTTTCTAGTAACTACATGTTAGAGTAAGTGCTTTCACTACATTTCCCTCTTTTCATCAGAATAAACTAAAGTAAGGAAAGAACGTCAACCTGCAAAATAAATAAATAAATAAATAAATATAAAGAAAGAAAGAAAAAATATGTACTTTTTAAAATTTACATCTGTCCTATTTTAAAAAGGATCAAGTTTCATACCAACCATTTTACCATTTTTACCTTTTTTTTTAAATTTGGCACAAGGACAGCTGGAACATCAGGAACTAATGAGTTTTCCCTTCACATTCTCACACTTTGTACCAGATTTTCATAATTTCATGCTAACAATGCTTTAACACTCACTTGTGCACTCATCTGCGCTCTCTAAGTTTGCTTTAATTGGATATTAGTGCTAATTTCTATGGTGAGCAGGAGATCAGAACGTGCATTCTGTCAACAAGTCACTGCAACATGACATGGATTAACATAAATCATTGCTGCAATTTGCCGCTGCCATATTTAAAATGACAGTGCCTGTAATGTACACYGACACAGAGATGGCTCACATTGACATTTAACCTCCAACTCAGGCTTGATGGATCAGTCTTAGCCCACTAGGCTTCACTGAGCCACGGTCAGTTAAAACCATCTCCGTTACCTAAATATTTACTTTATGTAAGCTGCCATTTTAATAAATAGTCTATTTTTGGTGTTTGCAGGTATATATACTGTATATATAATGTAATGRAATGTACCTGCAAACACCTGGTTTAACAAGATCTAAAGCCTAGAGTTTACTGTCCCATGTTCTTTCTGAGTACGAGATATTGTGGATGTTTTAACTCAAAGTCCCGATTATTAACAGTAGTTTGTACATAAGTAGTTTATTTTATGCTGTAAATAAATATAATTTATTTTAGAAAACTTGAGCTACTGAATTGGCAAATTATTGTGTGTGTGTATTTCTCATTTACCACAGAGAGGTATTTATCTGTCTAGAGAACCTGTGATTCCTCATTATTTTTCTGAGAAGTGTAAGAGTTCCTTAGTGTCTTCTACAACTGATCGTCAGTCAAAGTATATATATATATATATATACTTTTTGAAACTCAGTTATTTTAATTGGATAGAAAAACTGAGATGGATATAAAACTACACAACCAACAGACCATGTTTATCCTAAAGGCCAGGAAACAAATTCACAGCATGTCCCTAAAATAAATTAATTTTATAACTAAAGCCTGTAATACCAATCACATGTCATCAATTTAATTTATATAGAACAATACAGTATCACATAGACATTTGTGCCTTGGCTATGATCGGATCTCTGACTGTGTTTGTAGATTTAACAGTTCTAGGAAGCTTTTTATTTTCCATCCATCCATTCATCCCAGAGGGAACCCCATACAGACCTATTTTCAACATGCTCCAGTTCTTCCTGGGAGTTCCCAAGGCATTGCCAGGACTGAGAGGATGCATAAACCCTCCAACACATTTTGACTCTGCCAGTTGGGACCCAGCATGGTCTCCTACCAGTGAGACATGCCTGGAGAACCTCCAGAGGGAGGTATCCAGGACACATCTCGGTCAGATGCCCAAACCACCTCAGCTGACTTCTTATGTTGCGAAGGATCAGCGAGCCCCTACAAATGATGGAGCTCCTCACTGTATCGCTAAGGCTAAGCTTACAGAGTTAGTTTATTTCAGATGCTTGTCTCTGAGATCTTGTTTTGATCATGATCTATACCTTAAAACTATAAATAGATAGACCAGTAAATTCAATTTGCCTTTTGGTTTAGCAATGTCCTGTTTACAGTAGATGAAGCTCTGATTCTTCTTGCTCCAGCCACCTGCCACTCAAGAAGAAGACTCTCCGATATGTTAAGTAGTGATGTTCAGTACCATCGATTTCCTTTCCAATTCTGATACAGAGTAAAACTCAGGCTGTTATTGGCAATATTGTTCTGATACTGATACTTACTGCAAATACACCTAATGTGTCTGGTAAATAAAAAATAGTGTATTTCAAATCACTGCTTCATAGAGAATACAAGACATCATTTATTATTATTATTATTATTATTATTATTCATTTTAAACTCAGAGTATATTAATGTAGTGTCCTCATATTCAAATAAATTATTGTTTAATTGTCAAGAACTAATAATTAAATGAAAAAATGGCATCTGAATTTACCATGTTAACGTGCAAATACTGAACATGTAACATCTATAAACTGATGATACTTGTGTCTTTTACTTTGTGAAAAGCATCCAGAAAGTTTAAAACTGGTCAAAATACTCATGCTGATGCACATCACTTTGATCAACTATTTGTTAACTGTTTATACATATTTATTGTTGAAACACTCCCTTTTTTTCATTATTGTCATCATTGATGCCATTAATAATTAAAACTCAGATCTTGGAATGTAAGCCTCCAATAAYAAATGACAATCAATTAATTATTAAAGCAAAGAAAATAGAGTTAACAGAGTTGGTTTACTGGATCAAACAGAGCATTGCTGCATTAATAATGTTTATTCTGATATGCTTTTTTATTTTTGGAGAGCAGAAAAAAAAATACCCAAAAGTAAACKCAAAGAGACATCTGTTGAAGTTATTTATAGTAATTCTAAATTTTGATATTTTGTTCAAAATGTGAGAATTCCTTGGATGTTATCCATCATACGTAGGACAATGGAGAACCATTTTGATGGCCAATAAAAACAGTTGTCTATYTATTTGTGTTTGATGTGTGTGTGTGATCTGTCTTCCAGTGCGGTCCACATGGAAGAATCCTCAGTGGTGCAGGGAGCCCAGGGGATGCTGGTCCAGAACTGGCCCACTGTATCCAGTGCTGCAGGTGAGTGGAAGTGCTGCAGCGGTCAGGGTGTTGCGTGTATCAAGATAAATCAGGATAATCATGTGTGTTMGAAAGATTATCGGCTTTAATCCTACCAGGAAAATGCAGAGGAAGAGGCAACTTATTTAATAATTGTATTTTTTGAAAGCAGGATGGTCCATTTCTATATTGGAGTGATGCAATGACGCAAACAAACAAAAACACACAAAAGTATTAGGGTAATATTTCCTTTTCAAAAATGATATGAAGTGTATTTACTTGAATGAAAGAATACTAGAAAAGTGAATGATTATCTAAGACTGAAGTAGCAATTTTTCAAAAAAACAACAAGCAACAAAAGCTTGAAAAACCATTGCAACACTGGGTCCACCTCGTCACTGTCAGACACATACATAATTTGGTTAAAAACAAGGTTTCTGTATGATAAAATTCATCATTGCATTCTATTATTTGCCTGGGGTGACGCTTGAAACAAGAAAATGGAAGGAAGCTGCAAAGAAATGACACTATCAAAGCAACAAAAGCAGTATAGAAACTAGAACACACTGCAATAATTATTTGCCTGAAATGTTTAAAAATCAGCAAACAGATCATAACTCCACAAGACAACACCATCACTTTTGAAGCAATGGCTGATGGATATTTTAAATGTCTACTATTCTAGCATCAAATAGCAGCTAGTTGTCCTGATATTCTAAATGAAGCTTGTGTTTAAACAGGAAGTTTATTCTAAGGTATTATTTTTACTTCAAACACTGCTACAGCTAATATCTGTTTTTTTGCTCAACTCAGACCTTTTATGCCATTTTCATATTGACCTGCTAAATGTGATGCAGCAGCCTCAAGATAGTTAGTTTAGCCAAGGTAAAGCAAAGGAATGCTTGACAGAAACAACTTGACCTTCAAAAACGTAGGTTCCACTGATGCACATTTTCTTTCTTTTTTTAGTACAATAACAAAATAAAAAAGTCCATTGCTGTAAACATCTTCAATAACTCTTAGGATGAGTGACTTTTCCAAAATGTCAAGCTGTTTCTTTAATAACCTTTATCTGGGGCAGTACTGCTGGTACAGAGCTTTGRAATGTTCGCCCTGCAGATGCTGTCACATCCAACAAGGTGGTTCAATTCAACTACAAGCCAGCTCTAATAGAGTCAATGCAATAATCTCGGGTTTAGAATTCAAATGAATTGTAATTTGAARGTCTACCTCATCTTGAACTCTGGTATGGTGTTGACGCAGAGCTTGGCTGAGATGCAACAAGCCTGTGGCCACTAAGCTTTTTTTTTTTTTTTTTTATAAACAATTATGTCCTCACTTTAAACTGCCAGCAGCGCAAGAAGCCACAGTCTGAAGATGGCTGCAGTTTTCAATAAGAAATGAGTTGTCATGAGTGGGTGGCATCGTTTAAAATATGTAGCAACATAACATAAGTGTTAAAAAAAAAGCTAACCCTAAACGTTGACCTGTGTTGCATCATTTTCGGAGTGGCTGCTTGGGAGCCTTAGAGCTAATGACTAAGAACATCTCAAAGTACTACAATTTGTTGAAAGTGACAGAAATGACTGGAAAACTTTTGTGAATGAAAAACAGTATTTGGAGGGTTGTGAACTGTTCTTTTTTTTTTTTTTTCCTCAGCCAGACTTGGTATCGTTGATTTTCTCTCTGGCCTCAGGAATTGTAAAGAAACTTCAAGGTGAAGGGTGACATTACAGTCAGTGACAGAACATTTTATTCTGTCAGTAAACAAGAAATTTTGAAGGTCTCATTTTTCTGCTGAGTGAACTTGCCTCTTTTTTTTTTTTTTTTCAAATATACCAGTTTCTGGTGTCTGTTTACCAGTCTTTTCTGATTGACAAAATTACAAAAGTTTTAACTTTTTAAAAGCTAAAATCTCTATAGACACACTGTAGAATTTCCCTTGAACCATGTTTTGAGCGTAATGAAAATGAACTTTTTCACACGGCACATTCGCGGATGGACATAAGTCATCGTAATAATCGGCCAATCAGAAAAAAAAAAGTGCTTTGTAAATGCCCCGACTGGAATATTATGATATGATTCAGCTCAAGTGAATGAATGGTTAATGAATTTGTAATCCGAATGAGTTTATGCTGATTTATAATCTAAATGGCGGGCACATAAACATTTATTCTGATCATGTTATTCTAGTTGTGGAAAACTGAATTGACTGTGCACCCTATGTCAGCCTGATGTATTTCCGCCTGGGTAGATGCTAATATGTTGGTCAGTTATCGATGTAACATTTCTTTAAGAAAGTTTGAAAGAGCTAATAATTTTCAAACGCCTTGAGGGTTGGAAGTTTAGGAGAACAACGTTATTTCAGAATTTGTTTTTTTTATGTTTGTTTATGCTCATCATTATGTTGTATAAAGTACCATAAAGTGATACTTGAGTAAAAGTACAAGTATCTTACCAAAAAATGACTTTGGTAAAAGTTAAAGTATCCTTTCGGAATATGAGTAAAACTCTTAAAGTATCTGATATTTTTTGTACTTAAGTATTAAAAGTAAAAGTATTGATTTAAAATGAGCAGTTAGATTTTCTGTAAGGACATTTATTAAAAGGTGACCTCCCCAAAAAATGTTGAAATGATTATAATTTAGGATGCATTAGTTTAGCTGTTTCAGTTTATATACATATATCAAGGCTATCCAAACCTTTTCTACAAAATGAAAATCTTAGAGCTGCGGTCAAATGCAATAATATATTTCATGAAATACAAATACTTCTTCTGTACAGTCCTTTTATTTTAATGATTATGTCCTGCTGGAGTGTGACATGATTTGTTTGTGTACAAACTAATACGGTATCAGAATTTTATATATTTATACTTCTCATTCAACCACAATTAAATTCACTCTATAGGAGGCACAGTTTTAAATGGATAGTATTAATTTTTTTTATAATAACAAGCTGGAATGAAAACAAGCAAAAATGAAATAAAAATAACGACTTTCTACTTCTTGTCTTTTTTAAAAAATGTAAGAAGTAGAAGTAAAAAGTAGGCTGAAAAATAATTACTCAAGTGAAACCCAAAAATTCTACTTAAGTACAGTAACAAAGTATTTGTACTTAGTTACTTTACAACTCTGCTCATCACAGAAGTACTTCTGTGTTTTTCAAGGGAAAGTTTTACAAATCTGTGTCAGTGCTTCTGTTCTGAATAAAATCCTGTTGCATACATACTCGTCATGATCGGACTAATTAATGCTGTGCACATGTAAAGGATGCATTCAGATTATTTAATCCAGATGCATTTCAATCCGATCAAAGGATTCTGTAAATGTCAACATAGCTGTAGTCTTTGCTGCACTGAACTGTTACCCTGCTGAAGTTGTCCAACCTGTCTCAGCGCCTCTAAATGCAGCATCCTGAAATCCATGTTTATACAACTGATCTTTGACACAGATGAGGAAGACAGATGCCAGAGGGAAGGAGTGGCAATTTATCGCCAGTTATGGCAGATTGCCATAAAATAAAGCAACATTAAAAGCAAATTTGGAGAGAAAGAGCAAAAAAAGAAGGCATTGAGGAACAAAACAAAATATTGAGGTGTGGGGGGATGGAGGGAGAGAGGTTAGGAGAATTGTCAGGTTTCTGCAGTGGTGTTGTTGCTAGGGAACGCCATGTGACTTGTTGCCTGGCAACACTGTCTCACGGAGAGATTGCTGCAGCAGCCGCACCCTCCATCAGCAGGGAGTGGGTGAAGGCAGTTTCCATCGCGACGGGTCGTATCTCTGAATGTTTTTTTTTTTCGAGATGGGAGCAGAAAAAAAACAACAGGGAAGCAAACTCAGCAAGGATGGGTATTAGGGAGAAATTAGGGTAAGCCAAGGGATGAAATGCACAAAAGTGGAGCTGACGTAGCTCCGTCTCATAAACAATACATACGACTTCTGCTAATTTTATGCACTCCAGCACTACATGATTACCACATCAGTCAGACATGACCCAAACCTCCAGAGTACTCCATTCAGGATGGAACTATATGAAGACAGAAAATAACGTAGCCTATTTTAAATGTGGGGCATCGGGTTACATGAAATGAGGCTTTAAGCACACTTTATATTTCTATCAGGTGTCATGGCAACATCCTTACAGGGAGCCATACTTACCAGCAGCTACGCTGTAATCCATTTCAGACAGCCGTTTGCTGGAAATACACTATTATCTCAGGAAACTGCAGAGACCTTTTTGCAAAGCTGCAAATCGCTTTGTAAATGTATTCATTTGTGGCGTGGCCTGCTAATTCTAATTTCTTTTCCTGTGCAAACACACACCTACACCGAGGAGTATTACTGATTAGTATTTGTATCTTAATCAACAATGCCCGGTGTCTGAGATTTGTCACAGTGGAGTAGGAAAGACGTTGTGTCTTGATTAACAGCTGCAGTATGGTGCAAGAGTCATGACCCGTCTCATTATTGCCGTGTTTGTTTCCAGTGAGCCATGTTTATGCCTGGTTTGCACAGCAGGACAATTACAGTATGTTGATCTTAAGGATGCCTTGATTATGATGATGGTTTTTAAAGATGATTTTAGGAGATATTCCTGCCAAGTGATGAGTGATCTCGTCAGCTCAGAAAGACATCAGGACCGCTCAGATCACTAATCTGTGATATTCAACATGTTGCATTGTCTTGGCCTGATATCCCAGTGTGTGCGCTGTTCCCCCGAGGACAAACAAGCTTGCAGCCTGTTAAAAGGGGCGTGTAGCCAATCAGAAAGCGAGGTGACAGAGACACAGAGGGAGAGTCCAAAACATAGAAGACAAAACAGCTGCCATGGGGCACCAGGAAGTCCGTTGGATATTGGAGATGTCTTGTTTTTCTCTGTTAAAAATTACCCACAAACCATTACCTTTGCTTCTTCCGTGTCGGTCATGTTTATTTGAACTCACATTTGATCTCGAGAGGTTTTCTTTCTGCAGTGGCGGATCTAGGGTTTTTCTGAGTAAGGGGCCACAGTATTCACAGAGGGGCCAAGACGTATTTGTTCAGCGTCCTTGCACACAAATCCCTGGTTTTGGTATGGTATTATATATTATATATATTTTACTAGTCACACTTTTTTATGTAAT